ATATATATATATATATATATATATATATATATGTGTGTATATCAATAATTGTCGAAAGAAATTTGAAAATCGCATCGAGGAAGAGAAAGAAGGTGAGAAAGATTAGACGCGAAATATAAAACGTGTGGATTTTCTAGGACAATGGGAAAGGTTAGAGAAGTGAATTGGAACACTTCTATTCTGGGTAACGGTTTGACGGCCATCGTTGTTATTCTCATTAAACGCGGCGAACTCGAAGTAAAAGTGTAAAAGGCACGGGTCATCCGGAGGCTGCAAAAAGGGAGAGGTTTTGCTCTCTGGAGGAATGCTCTGCCGGATTGAGAATCTCCATCCGGCAGGTCTCGAAAACCTGTTGCATTTTAACGAGACGGCCGATTCTTTGGAAATTCAGCTTGGTTGTTCTCCAAATTACCCGATCACGCTCGGGAAAAATTGTTTTCTGCGATTGATGTTGTTATATATATATATATATTGACGTCAAGCATCGCTCGATATGTTTTATCGGTGAAAATCATTAAATTTCTCGTGATGAATATGGAAACGAGTTCGTTCGAAGGAGAGAAAAGAAAAAAAAACTACGCGTTATCTAGGTTTAAAGTTTTTACAAGATGCATCGGATTATTTTCTTTTATTTCCCTTGTTTGCATTTTATGCGATTTATTAAATTACAATCGAAGGAAAGGTCAGACAATCATTCTGTTATATAGGGAAATACGTTCGATTAGATCGGGGAATATAAAATTTTATCGCTTATTTAAATTTACGTCAAAAAGAAAAATTTTCATAACATTTCTAACTTCTCTCAGTATTAAAATTCTATCTAGCAAGCATGCTCGAAGCATGGATTGATAGCGACGAATACGTAATGATATCAAGTCAAGTGAAAAAAGGAATTAGCAAGAATTAAACAATTTCAAGATTTTGTAGATCTCTTTCGTGATTTCATAATTTCGCAGCATTACTGCGAAAGTTTTCACGATTCGTTTATATTTATTGAAATTAAAATATGGAAAGGTAGATCGATTACGTCGATCGATATAATGAACTCGTGAGAAATAACAATTTTTAAAAATTGAGAACGCATATTTCGCATGCATCGATCCAATAAGTACGCGCGTGTGAATCGAAAAGTCGATTAATCAGTCATTTATACATCGTTGGTATAACAATGACTAACTAAAAAAAAAAAAAAAAAAAAAAAAAACAGCAAACAATGCATAGGCATACGTGTATGAACATTAACAATTCCATAATTCGTAAAATATCGAGCGGGGATCCCCTTTTTGCGCGATCATTCTATCCCGCGTTTCGGTTCACGGGATTTTTCTGGATCGATAGAGCCGCCACGAAAGAGGAAAGAAGGCGCACAAACAAACGCTTATGCATGCTTATTAAATAGTTCGGGATGCTCACGCGATCCTGCGTGCAATTCACGGCGCAAATAATAAAAAAAAAAAAAAAGTAACTCGAACCGACGATTAATCGCGTCTCTGGTGTGCAAAAGGTTCGCGAACCACGCGCCTCTACCTTGCCCCCTTCTTATTTATAACGTGTCAATAGCGTATCGTGTTACTTCCGGTTGTTAACACCGATCAATAGCGTATATCTTACGGGAGCCGAGTCCGTGCACGTAACGCTTCGTTTTTAAATTCAAAACCCTTCTCTTCCCGCTATACAATTATCTCGTTCGAAATTTTTCCCTCCCCTCCATTTCGATAAATTAGACACGACATGTTCGTCTTTGCCCGTGAAAAAGAGGGGGGCTTGTGGGGAAAAGCGAAACTGTATCGGGGGCAGAGGCTGTTTACGAAACGGCTTCAACCGGGCAAACAACCGATCCCGATCGCTTCGAGGATCTCTAAAGCACACTTCCGCCGTTGATTCTGGCGTCATTAAGAGGCGAGCCTCAGGCTCCGACCGGCTCGAACTTCGGAATGCGGCCGGCTCGTTGAATCGTTCCACCGGAAGTTCTCGCACTCTTTCCTGCTCTCGAGCTTTAAACTCGCGCCGCGCTGCGTTGGCCCGGCGAGGAAAGGGTGGGCAAGGGGAGGGGTGGGGATGAGTGCGTGTGTGTACGCGATACTCGGTCGGTATACCCGCGCGATTCTGAAAAGGACGGTTGCGTCGTCGGGGCCGCTCGCTTCTCAGGCGAGAGGATTAAATTCGAAAACAAGCTTTCTGAACGACGACGGGCGAAGGACGTGGCCTAGTCTTCGACACACGGAAGCAAAAATCGCGGATCAACATGTTTTTATATCACCCAACCGGGCTATTTATATTTGCCCCGTTCCAAATTTTCTGCCCCTTTGCCCACGTCATCAGATATCATAATGAAAGTTCACACGAGTTATAATAGAGATGGCTATTTTCGAACGGCGTGCGGTTCTTTCGATGCTTCTACCATATATCTAGGACAATTTCAACATTTCCTTGTCTATATACACACACGTATATCGGATTTCGCTTGACGACGGTCACGGAAGGTTAAAATGCCTCTCACCCCTTTCTTCTCGATCTCCGGCGATCCAATCGAGATTACGAATCACGATCCATTCGATGAGATTTTTGCGCCTTGGGATACGCCTTGTCATCGGGAAATTTTAGGAAACGAGATAATATTCGATAAAGGGAATCTCATCGAATGTTAAACGATAATTCGAAAGGATCCCGAAAGAGCGCTTTCACGAGATAGTTCGATAAATCGAGAAAGATACAGAACGATTAGCTCCGGTCGTGGCCCGGATACCTCGTTCGTGGTATCATCGTTATACCTCGAGGTTTTCTGCCTTCGCACGCCGAGATGCACACGCGTCCTGTGCCATTATACATATATATATATATATTCCAACAAAACACCATAGGAGAGCCAGGACGACTCTAGAGCTAGAACGAGATGGTGGCGGAGATGGAGGTGGAGGAGAAGACGGAGAAGGACGAGAGAGAGGTGATAGCGGTGGTGGTGGTGGTGGTGGCGGCGATGGTGGTGGTGGTGGTGGTGGTGGTGGTAGTGGTGGTGGTGGCGCACACGTACACACACGTATACACACAATGGTGGAAGATGGGAGATTTTACAAAAAGCGAGGCAGAGCGGCCCCTTTCGTCGCGCGGCCGCGGCGGGCGGAGAAGAGGAGGAGGAGGAGGAGGAGGAGGAAGGGGGGCGGGGGCGGGGGAGCGGTGCGGGGGCTAGGGAGAGGGCGGACGACCTCGACGATGATACGACAAAAAATCAGATGCACGGCCATTGGCTGTTCTCAATTCGAATTATTGGCTTCCCCGGTCGCCGTTCGTCAGAGCCTCCCCGACCTTCTCGATACTCTTTCTCTCTCTCTTTTTCTCTTTTCCTCCGATCTCTCCTACCACTTTCCCTCTGCCGCCGCCGCCGCCGCCACCGCCGCCGCCGCCACCGCCACCGCCATCTCCTCCGTCGAGCCTCCATCTCCTCTCTCGCCCCCTTCGGGAATGGGCGCCGGCGAGAAGGGCCGAAAAAACTTCGAAAAAAAATCCAATTTCGTTGCCATGGTGACCGGCGTGCGTTGACTTTGATAAAGATCCCCCGAACGAGCCACCTCCGCTTTTCTGCCTCCTCCGCCTCTTTCTCCTGCCTCCGTCTCCTGCTGCGCTCCGTCCTCTTCATCCTCCGCCACCTCCTCCTCCTCCTCCTTCTCCACCTCCTCTGCCTCGGCCTCTTCCTGGCTCGGGCTACCCTCCGCCTCGCGACGCCGTCTCTTTCGCAGTTTCTCCGATTGTACGCGCGCTCGTCCTTTTCTTGCTACTTGTATTTTTATTATATATATATATATATATGTATATGCGCATACATATACAGGCTCTCTTTGTACGTGTGTGCGCGCGCGACGGGGAATCCACCGGCGGATTCGTGGACGAGGGGGGTGAGGGGGATGAAGCCTCACGGGGGCCAGCGCGGTGGCTCGGTTTTGGTTGACCCATATCAAAAGGGAGGAGGTGCCTCCGGGACGTTTCGCTCGCCGGACTCGTTGAGTGGTTTGTTTGTTTCGGGCGCATCGGCTATCGGGGAAAAAAATTTTATTTACGCGCCGGACGGATGTTACCAACGGTCGAAGACGAGGTGTACCCGTTTCTACCAGCCAAGGATAAATGCCGCGAACACGCGAAAGGCCGGCATCTGTTTCCAGGAGAAAATTCTTCTTCGACTTTGATTTCGAAGGGAAGGAAAGGAAAGGAAAGGAAATTCTAAATGGATACGTTTTTTCGAGATTCGTCCGATTCTTATCGTTGAAGATAAGAAAACTTACTAAGTGCACTTATATATCAGTTTTTAACCCTTTCGCGATGAATAACGATCGTGAGTTACCGGCAGATGCGCGTCCCTAATTCCAGTCCGTGCATGCGAGCGGAAACTTGTGCGCGCCAGAAGGCCGGCCGGGCTTGGCTCTGTATTCTTGAGCAAGCGTGGGTGTACGGGTGTGTGGGGGGAGGGGGGAGGGGGCGGGAGGAGGAGGCCGCGTGTCTATCCCCACCGAGGATCGCGTCTGATTTTTATTTCGAAAAACTTTTTTAATAAAAAAGTTATCCGCGCCACCCCATGCCGGGTAGAGGTGGGTAGAGGCTCGGCTTATACACGGCCAGGTGTATTCTATATAGGTGGTCGGGAGAGAGAGAAAGGGTGAAGAAGGGGGAGGGGCAAGCAAGCCACCGGACCTCGCATTAAAAGTTTCACAGCGCTCACGATATTTCATAACTTTCCTATATTTCGAAAAACGTGCACAGTCGGCTAGTCGGATCCAGACAAGCCCCGGAATTTGTGTGCACACAGGCTTCCTCAAGCTGTACGTGTGTATCGCGATCAAACACGTACTGTAGGGGGGCCCGTGGTTGCTTGCCGCGCGAATAGAGAGCCCTGTTACATTGCCATCTCTAACTTCCATCTCTTCCACCTAGCCACGTACGTACGTACGTACGTACGTACGTACATTTTCGCCTCCTCGTCAACAACTATACTTCTCGCTGCCGCTTCACCCGTTTCGTTTCTCTCCTCTTCTTTCCACTGATCCTTCGCGTTCTGTCTCTCTCTCTCTCTCTCTCTCTCTTTCACGTACACACACTCTTTCGCTTCCTCCTCGATTGTTCTTTGTTCCTCCGTCTCTTTCTGCACTTTGCCTCTTCCCTTATCGTGTCCCTTTCGCGTTCGTTTCTTGCTCTTTCATTACGTTCGTTCGCTCGCTGAGAATACGGTTTAAAGTAACTAGAGCTGGTTGCAGCGGTGCTCCGATCGATCGTGTTTCGAAACGTGTTGGAATCTCGTTCGCGATCTCGATGATAATTGTAAATATACGAGCATGGAGGTTAACGTTCTTCGTTGATTATATTCGTATCTAAATTGTTTTTATCGTTTTTTTTTTTTTTTATTTTTTCTCGATCGTCATGATGCCTGTTCCCTTTTTCTTCCTTTCTCGCATCGCGTATATATATATATATATAGTGTGTAACTAAAAGTTACTTGTGCAACAGGAGGGATGATTCCTTGTTGTGAAAATAAAGAAATAATTATTAGGATAAAATAATTTTATTCCCAATCGGGGGATCCCCGAAAAATCGATGTTGAATATATATAAATAAATAAATGAAATATATTATATATGATATAGAATAGAATAGTTTTAAATAATTAACTCGATTCGCTTTCTGAATAATTAATAATTTTACTAATAATAAAAACAGAGTAAGAAATAATTGATACGGATCTGGATATAATCGATCGACATTAGTTTATCTTATCTTATGCGTTTCGTATCGAAATCGAATCGAAAGATACTTGGGAAAAGATACATTGTAACCAATATTCGAAATGGTCCGACTGGTTAAATGAGTCTCGTCGGGGTACAGTCCCTGGTATGAATTCGTATCCGTCCCGCTTCACTCATAATGAAACGAATACACGGTTTCGCACCGTGACTACCCTCGACGATACACGACGATGACACGCCGACGACCGAGTGCAGTGACAGTTACATACAACTAACCTCGTATTCTCATCAGTCTGTGTTAAGATGCTTTTAACCATTGATGGTGCTCGTGTTAGCGAGCTTCTGTCGGTCATTCGCATTCGAGTATCAACGAAATAAATTGCCCGGTGAATCTTGATATTCTCGATCCTGTCCAGTCAACCTTTCATCTTTGAGAGAAGGTTCTCTTGTGTTAATTTTTTTTTTTTTTTTTTTGATCGAAAATACTTCATCCGTATTTAACACACGTATTTATTCCAGTTGCGAATATTTTCTCGATAATTTTATCCATTTGTCAAAAAAATTAACTATCGATTAATTCTCTCGAATAGTGAAAGTTGTGTCACTTTTTTCTATCTATATTAACACAATATGTGTTAATATATTAGGGGAATTTTTTTGAAAAGATCGTAAGATTTTAACGATCGAGATTAAAAAAAAAGCAGAAAAATTGGTATATAAAAATATCGGCTTGTTCGATGAATTGTAAACATTTAAGTTAAGTTTAAACATAAACTAAAATCCAACATATAAAAACGCTTATAACAATCGATAAATAAATAACCAAGCATTTTTTGTGTAACCAAACTTTTGCATTGTTTTACAGCATCTTTCTTTGTACCGCGAATATATTAACACCTTGTATATGGATATTTTTCTGAATTGCATTTACGGATACTATTTCTGTGGTTCGGCATCTGGTAAAACCTGATATGTCGTATTTTTCTAATTTTACACTACAACGATTTTAACGTTTGTCCAATTGTGAAAAATCACGATATTTCTTAAAAATACAATTTCTCCTTCCCGTGTGTTTGTAGTTAAAAAAGCCTATATCTCATCTCTTTCGAGAAAAAAAAAAAAATACTCGATCAGATGAGATCTCGTCGAACATCTCGTCCATTCTTTTCGAGCGAATTCACAGAGATAAAAATTACACTGATAATAATAATTGAAACGATCAAAATCATATTTTTCGTACGTCTTTTTCGTTCAAATCTTCTTCCCTTTCTCTTTTTCGTCGTCACAAAGTGAACGCTCGACTCAAAAATGGACGTAGCCTCCATTAAATCTCGAATTTTTCCATCGTAAATCCCCCTTCTTGTCTTCTTTCCCTCCAATGAAATCGTAATTTCAATTTTAATCGTGAACCAAATTACCTGCCGGATAATCTCAGTCCATCCAAGATCGAATTTGCAGGGGCAGGGTTGGATAGAAATTTTTCTTATGAGAAAACGAAATAAGTATAAGAACAGTAGTTCCATGGAACGTCGCGCATCATATCGTTTTTTTTTTAATCCCCCTCATTCCTAAACGTCTCATTCTTCTTTTTCTCGGTCGCTAAGCTGGAATCTTAGGAGTGGGAAGAGGCTACTCGTTCCTCGATACTAGCCTTTTCTTTTTTCTTTTTCTTTTTTTCTTTTTCTGTCTCTCGAATTCGAGCGGAGGAACCCTTTGAGGGTGGCAGTGAGGATCTTTGTCGACCTCGCAGCCTCTTCTTAACCCGAGTGCATTTCTTTCGGTCCATCCCTCTCGATTTCGACGAGAAATCGTCCGCTGGCCTACCTGTGGAGACCATGATCCTGGACCTCTTATTCCTTTTGCAATATCCTCGTCGCCTCGTGTTTTAGTCGGCGGGGAATAAATCCACCACTGGTCGAACGATACCGTGGATTCCTTTTAATAAAAAAGGGAAAGAAAAAAAAAAAAAAAGAACGGGATAGACTTTCGAGATTCGAGAAGGAAAATTTCATCTTCTCCTCTCAAGAGAAACTGAATTTCTGCGGTATCGTCGAAGACGCGGAAAAGAGGCTCCTTTTAAACCGACTGAGCGACCGACTTTCGACTTTCGAAGCTTTTCTCGCCCGCGACGACGCGTTTAAAGGGATAGAGTAATTCGGGGATAGCCGACAAAAGTGAAATTTCTCGGCTAGAACTCGGCTTTAAAGGGTTGCCTATCTTCTTTCGATCCGCGCGAACGATTGAAATTCTTCTTTTCTCCTTAAATCTATACTTGGATGCGTTAAAAATAAGATAATGGTGGATACGATTTATTTAAAAATCGAAATAATTAATGATCGTTTTTATTCGTGGAATGCGTAGACGAGATGTTACAACAGGTGTCCAACAAGAATATCTGTTATAATGTGTAACGAATACACATTGTTACTAAATAATTCGTTCGACTTAATTTAATTTTTCGTTCTGCGAAACAAGAGAAACGAAAGGAATGTATTGTTATTTTTAATCTTGAGAAAAAGCTTTATTATCAAATAAATATTATCAAATATCCAAAACAAAATTCTCTTCTTTTTTTGGAATAATTTTCCATCCTAGTGATTCATTTTTCAAATCTATTTTTTTAAAAAGCTTACTTATAATTTAAAAATTTTAAATTATATATATAAAGAATAATAGATTTCTTTCTGATTCCCTTAATATATTGTGAATATATATATATATATATATATATATCGTTCGAATTAATTGACTAAATATACTAATAAAGAAAAAAAAAAATACGTATATAAAAATCTGGCAAAAGAACGAAAATTGCGTGTATCGTGGATGGCAATTATATTTACTAACGAATTTGATCGGAATCATGGTTTTGTTCCCAGACGTGGAACACGTAGCTCGAGCTTCTTAACGGGGCTTCTTACTTTCGCACGATAGATCGCGAGGGAAATGTAAAAAGGAAAAGAAAAAAGAAAAATGTAAAAAAAGTCGGGTATCGACCGCGGGAAAATGGGAAATTAAAAACGTGTACCACGCAGCAGACCTCTCTTTCCTTTTACTAGTCCGGTTAGGAAGCTAACGGAAGTTTTTCTACCGTCGTGTTGTGTTGTGTGCACGTGTGTTAGAGCGTGCGTGTGTTGCGTATGAGTAACGGTGAAGTTGTAACACCGTCCTCTTATCGCAACAGATTTATCGATTTGGCCGTTTACACGCCGTTCAGTTTTTGCTTGAACCGCGAGAAACGTTAACCTGTCGTTGAATTTAGAATCGGGCCTGGCTTAGACCGTTAAACAAACTTTAATTTGTTCTACTCGGTATAATTACAATCGGTAAGTATGTTCGACGCATGCGTGATCTGTAATTATGTTGATGCGCATTTAACTCGCGCATCGTGTTTCATGGCATCCTTCTCTAGTTAATTACGTCGAAGTAAGTTGATACTTCTTTCGTCAATTTTGAAGCAACATGGATGCGTCGCGACGAATGTTAAATAGTTATCGTAACATTGTTTGTTTTATATGTATCGTGGTGGTATTATACAGGG